AATCTTAAAGGAATTGAACTTCATGCATGATACACCTATTATGTTTACTGATAGTCAAAGTGCATTATTACTTAGTAAAAATCTTTTCTATCATGAAAGATCAAAACATATTAAGGTGAGGTATCATTTCATTCGTGAAAAATTATCTCAAGGTGAAGTTGAACTTGTTAAGATCTATACTGACAAGAATCCCTCAGACATGGGGACAAAAATTCTACCTGTAAGAAAATTTAAATTGTGCTTATCTTTATTACATATTGACACTGGTTAATTTTCTTGCATGTAGTGGGCAATGATGATGAACAGTCTTCCATGTGCAAATTCGCAACTAAGAGAGAATGTGTTAGGAGAGCCAAGGTGAACAATGTGGGTTTAAGTGGTTCTCTAACACCATTGGACTAGTGTCATTTGTGACATTTACATTTTTATTTATTCTTTACTTATGCTGCTTAAGTGGCATCCACTTATTGGTAGCTAAGTGATCACTTGGATTATGCTGGTTAAGAATTAATTGTAGCCCTGGGATGAGATCGACGGCTGGGATCTATTCTTAGATGAGATATTTTCTTGGGGATATGCCTTTTTAATTCATTCGGTACTTTCTTTGAGACTTCACTTTTCTCTCTATTGGTCCGACTCTCTGGTCCGTCTCTGAAATCGATCCTTTAAGCCTGTTGAGGGGGAAATACCTGTGTAGTACTTAGACCTGAAATAGTGGTTGAGTTGTTGGTTTTTTCTCGAAGGCTTAGGTCAGGTTCGGTGGCTTTGATCTTGACTGCTTTTGGTAGATCCTTGGATCGATGACCCAAGTCAAGTGCTAAGGTTCTGGCCGGTTGTTTATCTCTCTCTGGATGGCGATTTGCAAGGCATGGAAGGGCTATTTCTGAGCCTATTTTTCAGCCAGTTAAGGGAAGAAGAAAAGGTTTTATTTACTGCTCTCAATATCTATGGTTTCTTTATGTTTTGTAAATGTTTGATTACATTGTGGTTTTGAAATTCGAACTCTAAAATTTCCCAACAGTTTATAACTTGTATTTAAAGCAGTAAATAAAATATAGATAACAACTAAGTTTCTAAATAACGATTAACTCTAGATAATGATAAAATGAAAAAAAAAATGAGTTTACGAAACCCTAAATGATGAAATTTGGCCGAAACGACCGTAAATCAAGGGTAAAGTAGTTTTGCTCATTCGGCCATTTCCACTAAAAATGGACACAAAATTCTCTGAAAACAGATACTTTGAAAAATAATTTTTTGGACCCCGATCTCACTTTTTCTTGAAACCTTTTTCTTTTTGTATTGCATTACAAATGATCAAATCAAGCATAATTTGTGGATACAAGGCAAACTCGAGTGTCTAAGTAAAGAGCCGGCTCGACTCGATCCATTGAGCCCCTATTCTGGAAGATAAATAATATATATTGCACTTAAAATATAATATTTTAACTTGACTTTCAAAGTCTTCATTTAAAATTAATTGGTTGACACATTAAGCCTTAATTAAGTTATTAAAAATCTTTTACCTAATAAAGCTAGCGCGTTTTTTCACAATGTCGGACATCTAATGATTTAATATCACTAATTTATTAAAAAAAAAACTAAAAGAATTAATTAAAAATATTCAAAGAACTTTATGAGAAGAGACTCATATTAATTATCAACTAAACTTAAGGGTCCGTTTGGCAGACTTCTACTTTTTTGTGGAAGAGCTACCTTACATTTGTTTACTCTAAAAGTTTTTATATCAAGCAAAACAATTTCAAAAAATTTATCGAAACATGTTCAAAACCTACATCTTAGTCTTATAATTAACTTTTTGACTTTTCAAAAATCATGTCAAACGAATCCTAATTACTTTAACTAATGCCACTATCTGGTGGCTATTTTTTGGAAAAAGATTATTTTGAATAGTGAATTATTGACGAGTGTGTGGTTAAAAAATAATAAAAAGTTTTGGATTTCCGTGTAGAATATTTTATTGTACGTGGTTGAAAATGAGTATGTAGAGAAAAAAAATTTAAAAGAATATGAGACAAACTGGGGCTATATTTAATAATACTTGCATCACATACCTAAGAAGACAAGACTACATCAAAATAAAGTCTCAAACTCACCTTTCTTGGGTCAATTTTTGAATAAATTCACGAATTCTGCAAAGAAACTACTGAGCGTCACAAAAAGAATTTATTTTCTATTTCTTTGCCAGGAAATTTCTAGTTTAACTTATTCATTACGATTGAAATTTCATTAACTACAATGACATTGGAAGCTATAAATTGACTTGGAACATTGCACACATTTTAGCAGTGTCATATGTATCTTTGTCTACCTTCAGACAATTAATTATGAAAACATTTCTTCTTCTCCAATTCTTTCTTGTTGCTTTGGCCATAAAACCAGAAGGCATTAATGGAGCCGAGCGTTATCGGCGCCATATCGGATTGTAACACTCGAGTAGGCAAAGAAGAAAGCGTGGCCATGGATATGGCCATTCAAGATTTCAACATGCAGCACAATC